GGCGAGACGAGAATTCCGCTCGAGACTTGTTTATTGATCACCTTCGAAGTCCGACCTTGAAAGGAAAACTGCAGAAAAAAGTTTCGCCGAAAACAACCTAGTTATCGGCTATCATCACTAAAGCATTGGAGTTAGACTTGGCTGATACAAAAAAATATATCAGCCAGGGAGACGAGGAGATTATAGATACCATACGGAATGTAACGACCAAGAGGCGATCATGGCTATAAGCAGTCAAACGGTTTTATCCCCGCCTCGATCATGACCTTCCCGGTGGAATCGTCTCCGATATCCCGGCTGCTTCTCCTCCCTCTCCTCCGGTGAATCAATCAATAGCAGCCGTTAGAAGCGGAACCCCATCCGAACCCCCCTCACTAGCCATAACCAATTTGTATCTTGCCCAGATGATCCATACGGCCACTACTAAGGAGTCCGAATGGATGAGTAACCTGATTCAACTGCAGGCGGCTCATATGGAGCGGATGAAACAGATAATGAGCAGGCTCATTAAGCCTAACCCAGCTCTTGCTTGGCCTGCCCCTGCATCGTTTCCACTTTTACCTGCCCCACCTGCTCCAGGGTTCGCGCCTCAGTTCCCTAATCTAGCTAATCCAGCAGGGAAGATCGAATGCTTTAACTGCAAGCAGCCCGGACATTTCGCCCGGGACTGTCCGCAACCGAAGCGTAATCAGCCTCCCCCTGCGGCGGCCCCCGTCGCCTTTAATCAGGGACGAGTGGGCGCTCTGATGGTTACGGATCAAGGAAGAGAACTTGTGGCATATGCCACAGAACAACTCTCCCCTTCGATGGCAACAACATCGACATCGGGAGTTTCTTCCCCCGACGCTGCTGACGTGGTCGATCCTCTCGAGTATCTCCATCTCGCAGGCATGATCGGAGTGATCCGATCGGTCCCAGATGATCTCGAGTGGGTCGATCGCGAATCCAATCCAGGACTGCAGTTTCGGACAGGAGATATTGACGTACTGAGAACACTCAAGCAGTTAGAAATTCGTGTGCCCGTCCCAGTGGGACATCTGCTCACCATATCTGAAGAGGCCAACGATAAGCTTCTACAATAATGCCAGAAAAATCAAAAGCGTTTCACCTATCAACGAACACAACGGATGTTGAAGAAGAAAGAAGAAGGCAAGGAAGTCGTACCCCCTGAGCCTGACACGAAAAAGCCGGAACCTGAAGCCGCACGTATAGCAACGATCTCTTTAGCAGAAAAAGATCACTTCGTACGAGCTCGGCCGGTGCTATGGAAAAGTGCGGAATGTGACTCTGAAGTATGGGGCAAACCGTTTAATGCCCTTATTGACACAGGGTCTTCTGTCGTGACCATATCATTGGATACTGTCAAAAAGACGGGAGGACTGGGATCCATTCTTCCTCAATCTGGCAAAGGCAATTATGTCTCTGCCGATGAGGAAGCAATGAACATTGTAGGCATTATCGAGAATGTGGCCGTAAAAGTTGGACGAGTACACGTCCTTGTTAACGAGCTCGTAATAGATGTACGATCCTATTCTGTGTTGTTGGGATTACCTTGGGCGATGGCGGTGGGCGCACGTCTGCATTTCGATTCGAAACAATTGGTGCTCACACAAACTAGGGGAAAGCCTCAGGCTGTTCCTCTGCGGGTTTCCACCCGAACGATAAAACGGGTTCCTAACTGGCCCCAAATAAGGATGATCCGATACATTGATCCCAATGAATGCTCTCCCTCGCGCCTCGGGGATGAAATCAGGGAACAAGAACATGAAAAAGAGATGCCTAGCGAAGAAGAATGGAAGCATCTGGTTGAACTTTTCGCACATGAAATCCCCGAAGAGTTTCAAGTGTGCCCCGACACCACCCGAAGCTTCCACGTAGATTTCCAAGACAATGCATTCACGCCTCTAACAACCCAGGTTAGTCCTTCAGTCCTCCTCGGGGAACCCATATTGCAAGTTTCCGACGTGGCTGATAATTTGGAACCCCCTCGCATATTGTACGAGGGAGCTCTTTCCTTACGAACGCGTTATCAACAAACGGAACAGTATTTGGATGTCTCTGTTTTTCCGCCCAGGCCGTTACTAAACACAGGAGCCACCATCGCCTTGATTAAACAAGAGGCGGAAGCACCGGTAAGTGACGTGCCTAATTTGATGCAAGAAATGACGGATCTAACAGGGCTAACTTTGGAACTGACTTCGGTTGGCTCAGAGACCGACATTGAAACTAAAGAAACAGAGATGATCAGCCCCGCTGAGTCCCAGATGATAGCAACTGTCTTTTCTGTTCGCACCAGTAGTTCCATTTTCTGTAGTGTCGGTGAACGGCGGGAACAACCGATTGATTGGGTCGATATACCCCTCAAGATTTCCAGGGAATCAACCATCCCCTCCCGAGTCATGTTCCTACGGAACTCCAGAAGTCATTAATCCGTGTGTTAAATGGTTACGCAGAAGTACTAAATGTGCACGATAATGATATCGACTTAACTAATGTGATTGAGCATGCCATCCTCACAGGAGATCATCCGCCCATTAGCTGCGCTCCCTATCAATACTCGCCAGCTCAAAGAGCGGCCGTTTTTCAGCGGATTGAGGAGTTTGAAGCCAATGGATGGATCGAACCTGCTATAGGTCCGTGGTCTTTTCCTGTAGTAATCGTACCTAAAAAGGCCGGAGGGATTCGCATTTGCATTGATTTTCGAAAGTTGAATGATATCACGATTAAAAATGTGTATCCCCTCCCCCGGATTGATGAGTTATTGGATGCGATTGGGGGTGCTCGATTATTCAACGAGTTTGATGTTCGTCATGGGTTCCATCATCTTCTTGTCCGGGAGGAAGATCGACCGAAAACAGCGTTTGTGCTTTTCGAAGGTACGTGGCAATGTATTCGATGTCCAATGGGTATCTTTAACGCCCCTGCAAATTTTCAGCGGGCCATGAACATGGCTTTTCATAATTTCGTACGGAAGACTCGTCTACCGCAGAGCATCATCAACTACTTCGTGATTGTGTACATGGATGACATCCTAGTGTATTCGAGCTCCTACGAGGGACACGTGCAGCACATCGAATGGGCACTACATGCGTTACGAGATGCAGGTTTCAAGGTGGCGCTTGAGAAGTGTCAATTTTTCCTCACCACCATTTCTTTCCTGGGGCACGTGGTGACAGACAAGGGACTCCAACCGGAGCCGCAAAAGGTGGCAGCTGTCACGGACGCGCCAATACCTACCACTATCACGCAAGTTCGCGCCTTTCTAGGCCTAGCCTCGTATTACCGAAGATTTGTCAAGGGCTTCGCGGCGACTGCGGGACCCCTCACAAATCTCCTGCGAAAGGATCAGCCGTTGATCTGGACGCCGGAGTGCGACCAAACGTTTTCCAAACTCAAGGCTGCTCTCATTTCGGCTCCGGTCCTTATAAAAACAGATCCCGAAAAGCCTTTTGTTCTCATCACCGACTGGCAACCAGAGGCGATTTCGGCGATCCTTGCCCAGGTGGGACCAAGCGGACTCGAGAGTGTGGTAGAGTATGCGTCCAAATCAGTACCCGCCTGCAAGTGCAACTACGCCGCTGCGACGGGAGAATGCTATGCGGCTCTCAGGGGAATCAATCACTTCCGTGCTTACCTGTACGGGGGAAAATTCGCCCTAGTGACTGATCATGAGCCCCTATTGGCTCTGAAGAAGTCGAAGGATTACTCGGGCATGATTAGGCGATGGGCAACGGTGCTGCAGAGCATGGACTTTGACATTCGTCATCGAAAGCACGAGAGACACGGGAATGCGGACGGATTGACACGACTGCACCAGCCTGAGAAGGTTCCAAAGGGTGAGGAGGTAATTCCGTGGAACGAACCCGAACAGGAGATCGGGTCTCAAAACGGCCAAGTGGAGATCTTATCGAAGCAGTAAGTGACACAAGGACTGCCAATACAGGCTAGCTTATCCTAACCTCCCCACACCCAACTCCTTCTCATATCAAGACCCTGACCTTCAGCAACTAAAACGAACCAGATTTGGGTCGGGTTTCTTATCAACAAACTCTCTAATGTTGGGAGGCTCAAGTCCCTATGAAAGACATAGGGGAATCTAGAAACATATCCCAAGCAGGCAAAACACAGATCTAAAGTCGATCTGATTCATAATCTGAAGAGCAAAGGGGGTTAATGACCCTAAAAACAGGGTTGAAGCATGTCGACTCCTCCATTAGGCCAAGTTGGGCCCTTGGCCAATCTATTTTGCTGGTTTGCCATTTAAAAAAAAGAAAAATAAAAATAAAAATGAAAGTCCCTGAACTTGATTCTCAGGGCTTGGCTGCACTACTCACTAAATGTGCAAAACCAGAATGAATCTTCTGCAGAACATGAAATTATACGCCGCCATATGTTTTGTCTTTTCTGCATGTGGTGAGCAGAGGCCCTTAGGGCCACAACACATATTCCTAAGAAAAGAAAAAGGAGAAAAAAAAAAAACAATAAAAAAGAAAAATGAAAAAAAAAAATAACAAAAAAAAATAATAATTAGAAAGTCCCTGCACGTGATTCTCAGGGCTTAGCTGCACTACTCACTAAATGTGCAAAACCAGAATGAATCTTCTGCAGAACATGGAATAATACGCCGCCATATATTTTGTCTTTTCTGCAGAGCATTAGGGCAAAAAAGACAAAACATATGGCGGCGTATTATTCCATGTTCTGCAGAAGATTCATTATGGTTTTGCACATTTGGTGAGTAGTGCAGCCAAGCCCTGAGAATCACGTGTAGAGACCAACACAGCTAGCTACGTGAGCAACCCATAACTTCTGAAACACAGACCTGAACTTGAATCATGAGGATATATTCGCCCAGCTCGTGTTCCATTTCATACTCAGTTCCTACCTCGATTATGAGGGAGGGTCAGCACTCTAGTGCTTTGAGGACCCTTCAGATAGCCTGCATGAGCCGTCTGAGCAGTGTTAGCGGGGGTCTCCCACCCTTCTTTAAAAAACAAAAGAGGACCTATCATATATGGTGGGGGTTGACGCAGTAGCGGGGCGGTGCTTGTTTGGTTATTTTTAGCACTTTTGGGGTTTTTTGAATGAGGCCCACCACCCTGTAGTCTGCGATGTGCGCGCGCGATCCCTGGGGTTGCGTTCAAATTTTCCGTGCCACGTGGCGTGCAGCGCGTTTGAACGTGATTGAACGCGACACCGGGGGGTTTGAACGGGCGCGTTTGAACGTGAACGCGCGTTGTGCGCGTTCAACCGGTTACGCAGCGCACACACACACACGCGCTCACACACACACACACGCACACACACATGCACACGTACCGACGCACACACACACACACATACACACACACACAATCAATCAATCAATCAATCAATCAATCAATCAATCAATCTATCAATCAATCAACCAATCAATCCATCAATCAATCAAATCGATTGATTGATTGATTGATTGATGATTGGGATTGATTGGTTGATTGATTGATTGATTGATTTTGTATGTGTGTGTGTATGGGCCAGTGTTTCGCCACTGACCCACTAAACCAAAAATATAAAAACAGAAATTTCGTCTCCGCTTGTTTTTTTTTTTCGTTTCTTTTTTTTTTTTCATTTTTTTTTCTTTTTCCCTTTCTATTAAAATGTCAAAAACAAATATTAAAAATCATAGTCATGTAGAGTTTTTTCTTATCTACACACACATACATATATATATATATATATATATATATATATATATATATATATATATATTTACCTATTTTTTTGCCCCCAAAGATAATCGGGGTTTCAAGCCCGCTCTCGGTCGCGGGCGGGATCCCAACGGCCGACGGTAAAATGGGCCGCGGTCGCGACCGCAGGTGATACATAGGTGGCAGGGCCCACAAGAGGGAGGAGATGGAGACACCTATGTATCACTCGCGGTCATGACCGCGGGCCATTCTACCACACGTGGTCAGGATACCGACCGCTGCAAGCACCCCTGGCGCCCAACCGCAGCCCCAAAACCCAGCAATTTTTGCAAAAATAGAATAATAGGCCAAAATACAAAACAATAATATGGGATTGTAGGTTTTTAAATTCCTACATCGTAGTACATCCCCATATTTTGTTTTTGGACTTTGATGCTATTGGTTATTTAAAAAAAAAAAGGAAACGAAAAAAAACAAGTATTAAAATCGAAAGAAACACAATAAAAAATGCGATTTTTTTTTTTTCATTTTTTCCTGATTGTTGGTGTGTGTGTGTGTGTGTGTGTGTGTGTGTGTGTGTGT